GCTGCGTGCTGCACAGCGTCAGTGTGCAATATGCAAGCCAACGGCAACCTCGACGACCGCCAGGTTTGACAGCGACCCGAGCCACATCGGTGCACGCTCTCGTTGTGTAGAGCGTCCTGCAAGAGTGGTTCGCTGCTCTTGCCGCAGACAGCGATCGCAAGTCGGATCTGCCCTTTGACACTACCGCGCCGATCGACGAGGTGCTCACTGTGCACCCGAACGCCAGCAGCATATTCCTCTACAGGAGGGTAACACGGCGCTGCATCATGCGGCAGCGATCGGGCACGAAAAGGCCATTCGCTTTCTTGCGCCGCGCATGTCCGACTTGGACGTTCTCAATACGGTATGGCTCGCGCGCCCGATAGCGTTGAGTTTGACTTTGAGTATTAGGAGGGCGTGACGCCGCTGTACGTTGCCATCAGCAATACGCACGCGTCTTGCGCATTGCTCTTGCTCGAGCACGGCGCCAGTGCCAATGGCCGCACCGAGGTACACGAGCTCGATCATGGAGTAGGATTCGAATTGCACTATCGCATTAGGAGTCGCCGAGTCTGCTCTACATTGCGTGCTTTCATGGCTTGAGTGACGTGGTGTGCCGTCTTGTGGCGGCGGGGGCAAATGTGCACGTGGTCGTCGAGGTACACACAACCTCCTCTGGTATCTTGGATCAAGGGATGACCATGACTAGGGCGACTGTACGCCACTGACAGCACTGGCTGCCCTCGACAAGCGCATCGACATTGCCCCCATGGTGACGGCCCTCGTTGCGGCTGGTGCCACCATTGGACCGGTACGCTACATGAATAGCGCTACTACTAAAGTGAAAAGTTTGCGTAGAATCCCAAACGCGTCGTCCGGTGGTTGGCACGCAATCTCGTCCGGCTGCGTCTTCTGATGCCACACGTTTTGCGCGCCGACGACATTGTACGTCTTTCGATGCCCACTCGAATATTGTCGCACTAAATATATGCCTAGGAGCCGGCGCTTTTGGACTACAACGTGCCACTCTTGCAGCTCTACATCGAGATGGGGGGCAACCCCGATGTGTGCGTCGACGTTGACGACGTGTACGTTGGTGATACCAAGGTACCGACGCGTATATTGTCGCCTGCGACATGCTCAAACGCTTTACATGTTAGGTCCATCGCGTGCGTCTCCTGTGTCACTTGCTGCGCCGAGGCGACCGCGACGGCGCGTGCTTTCTTGCGCGATACTCGGATGTCAACTACATTGACGAGGTGAACAGGTTTGTGAATATACTAAGCTGACAATGTATTGTGATCCTAGTATGGGGTCATGGCCGAAACCTCGGCCCTGCGCGCCGCCATCAGTAACCGTGTCGACGCGTCGGTGCTCGAAGCGCTTCTGGCCCACGCCAGCCATCCGCCGCCGCAGGTAGCGAACACGAATTCAAGGTGGTGAACGGACTAGTAACGCCGTACGCAGTACTACAATGGCGCGCTCAAGGTGGCTCTCCGCGAGGGAGGCAGCGTCCCGGAAGACACGTTCAACTTGATAGCGTCCAAAGCCGACATGACGTCCGAGGTACCGAGAGCGATGACGACATGCGTGTCACGAATGATATACGAATTGATGTGCAATATTCTAGCCCTTCTTGGCCAGCAACGGCTATTACTTTGATGGCGAGTGCGTTCGTCGGCTCCTCCGCGTGGGCGCCGACCCGACGATGCGCAGTGCCGTACGCCAAGACCCAAGTACCTTGTACTAACGATGAATGTACAGGAGGGGTACTCGGCGCTTTTTATGGCGGCACAGTACAATGGCGACGGCGCGGTGCAGCTCTTGGCGCCGTTCGCCACTACCGACATGATTGCCGAGCGACACGTACGCATCGTCATCTGCCTTCGCAGCTTGTATGACAATCACGGTGTGTAGGATGGAGAGTCCATTCTCGACGTCGTACTCAAGCAGCAGCAATGCCGCCGTATGCTGGTGCCGCTACTGCATGCGGGGTTTCCTCAGCCGCATAACCTCCCAATCGAGGCGCTCTACTGGCACCCAGCCAACGTCGGCAGCCACACGGCTGCCGCGCACCACCTAGGATTGGCACCATACGTACTGCGTCCAGCCTACGCTCGTCTTGAGCTCCAGTACATGGCAGTCCTCTCAGCGGTGCTTGACGATCCCAACTGGCTCAAGGCACCGCTACCGACAACCAACTTGGCGCCAGACGGCCTCGCCTTGCTGCGTGCCGAGGTGGCCTATCTCAAGACCCAGAAGACTAGCGGGTTCACACCAAGCACGTCGCGTGGCGTCTTCTTCAAGGACGACCCGAAAATCGCTGTTCTTCACCGAGCGCTGCAATACCAGCTCGCACCCCTTGAAGCCGCAGCACAGTGGCACGACCATCGTCTCGACGTTGTCGACCCCGCCATGTATGGTGCCGTGTATGGTCACACGCAGTACTCGTTTGAGCCACACCGCGGTCGACTCGGCGTGCCGACGGAGACAGTGTGGCACTCGGACATCGAGTACTACAACCTTGCGCCGGTCACATGCTTCACGCAGCAGTTCTTGCCGACGAATGTGGCGTGGGATGCTGCGACCGGCCGCGCAACGCTGAAGAGCTACGTCAACAACGTCCCACCGTCGATGTGCGAGCTGTACGAGACGCTGACGGCCTCGCTTTCGTTCGTGCTGCCGCTGCTTCACCACGTCGAGAGCACTCCGCACGACGATCAACCGCGCATTCGTCTCTCGCAAACGGCGTCGCGCCGACTCAAGGGCACAAAGCCACCCGTGTTACCGAGCGTCAAGGGTTTTGAGTTTCCTCGCATCGCGACATGGGACACAGACGTGCCATCGCAGCGTCAAGTGCTTTGCGGCGTGCAGTGCTATCGCACAATTTTGCCCGGACTTCCGACCGTCACGGCCTGGCAACGGCCGACAAGTGCCATCAACGAAGCCATTGGTACCACTGCCCTCGTCTTGTACGACGCTCGCAATGTCACGGCTCGTGTCGAGTTTGCCCAGACATTTGCAGCAACCAACACGTGCCCACGCCCCAGCGATCCCAGCACCGAGGTACGACAGCACGTTGGACCATCAGATATCAAGTCGAGCCACTAGGTACTGTGCCGGAAGCGCAACGTCGTTCAGTCCCAGACGACAGGCGCTGTCACGCTCTCTCCAAGCCGCATCGTGTTCTTTGACTGCGCCACTGCCTACCGCATCGTGCTGTCGCCGATCGATGCCAGCCATCCGGGCCACTGCAAGGTCCTCTCGTGGGCGTTTGTGTCGAAGGACATGGACCCGCTCTTGTCGACGGCCGAGGTCTACCCGCAGCAAAAGCACTGGTTCTACGACGCAGTTCAAGGCTCTCGCTTGGCGACGCTCCCGACGGTTGTCGTCGATCACGTGCTCTCGTTTTTCGGCGATTTCATTTTGGACGACGCCAAAGCTCAAGCCATCGCCAACGCCAGCAAGGCGACGCGCTGCGAGATGCTCACACGGCTCATGGGCGACGTTGCGCGGGCCTCGTTGGTAGAAGAATGGCAGCGCTAGACACATTGTCTGTCCATACTAACTGTGTTTTCTAAATGGCTGCCGCTGCCCAATCCTTGAGGTGCTACGACGCACACAGCAGTCAAACGAACTCGTCCTTTCAATCGACGAGGTGACAGGATGACGCGAGAACTGCGACGCTTGAAAGGCGCCAAGTTTGTTCCCGTCGTTGCGGCGTCAGGTCGCCAACCATTGGACCCGACGCTGCATCATAAACACCACAACTTCACCCGATCGCGCTCTATCTTGCTCCTCACTTGACAAAATGCCCGCCAACAGCATTTTGTTCGAAATCGAAGCCAGTCAAATGCATCAAAGAAGTTGCCGTTGATGGACATACTGGAGATTTTCACATGCAGATGTGGTTTGGGTTGAAATGTACTTGTGCTACAGGACGCGTCGTGACGCGGCGAGACCCTAGACCGTTTACGCAAACTGCATAGCGCGGCGCACAATGTCGTTGCGAGTCGCGTGCCACGTATCGACCATGCGGTCATTGTCCACAAAGCCGGCGCCGACACACAAAAGCACGAGCTCGAGCAGGTCCGTCGGAAGCGCCGTGAAGCGGGTGCCTTGAATGGCCTCGAGGAACCAGGCTCGCTGCTGCGGGTACACCTCGGCCGTCGACAAGAGGCCACCATGGTGCGCATCGACAAGATGCCACGTAAGGATTTTGCAATGGCCATTTTGATTGGCGTCGACGCGCCGGAGCGAGAGGCGGTAGGTCGCGTTGGTAGGAATCAAGACGACGCGGCCGAGACGCGCCGTGACAAACCCCGTGTCTTGCGTCCGCTTGTCGGAAATTTCGGGCCCAAACACCTAGCGCCGTCCAGGTTTGGCGTCCATCGACACTAACAAGCATCTGGCTCGCACCTCTTCGTCTGCGTCCTCGGGATTAGGGTACGTGTTGACGCGCTCAAACGTCTCGCGCAACTCGACCCGTGCCTCGACGTCAACGAGATCGTAGAAGACCAGTGCCGTGTACCGCACAGCTTCGTTGATCGCCCCCGTGCCGCGTCGCCAGGGCGTGGCCCACGGTGTCGGCGGCGCGTGGAGGCTCTCGACGCTGCAGAGCACTTGTAAGTGCGTCTCGAGGGGCTGCGAGCGTCGTGAAAACGAACGCAAGACCGCCGCCTCGAAGCTCGGTGGCAGCGCAACGCGGACGCCGGCTACATCGGATGCTGGCGCGCAAAGACGACTTGGTGTTGGGCTTGCCTCGAGTGTCGCCGCGCGGTTCAATAACGGCAAGATATCTGAGAGCGCGTTTGCCAGTGCATTGTAGACTGCAGTTCTAGTCCATAGGACATCGACAATGTAGCTCTCGAACGTTGCGCGGCCCGTCTCGGGGTCCCAGATGACCGGTGTCGGCAAGAGCTGAACATGCGGACACGTCACCGCAGCCACCAAGGGATGGTCAACGGTCGTCGAGTGCCGCACGACGTCGGTGGCGAGCCCCACTCGCCCACCGTGCGGCACGACGCTATACCGCGTGTGTCCCTCGATCGAGCCACCGCGCATGGGCTCGACGATGGTATGGACAGGGCCGTTCCAAGCGCCTTTGAGCGGCGCGAGATGCGTTCGCAGCGCAGCACAGATGTCGTTGTTGCCCCAATCAACGTGGTACACGCCGCGCGCCGTATTGGGGGTCCAGTTGTGTGGGTTCGAGTGGCGGATATGGTCGACTTCTTGCTGCAGCAGTGGCGAATACAGACGTGAGTGTGACCGCCAGTCGGGCGCGTCGAGCACAGCGCAGAGCGAGGCCATGTAATGCAGCTCGAGCTCAGAGTACGCGATCGAGTCGGTGCGCCAGCCTTCGTAAAGAAGCGTCGTCTCGGGAAACCGAATCGTGCACAGGTGTCCAAACACAGTGTCCGTCGGCAGCGTCGTCACCGATGCAAAACCTGCTTGGAGAAGTGCGCGCACAATGGACGTGTGACCCAACGCGACCGCGACGTCCAGCGCCGTGCGTCCATCCTACATGACGCGTCATCGTATGAGCGGTATGAGCATCTTGATGCATACGTGGCGCTCGGTGAGGAGGTCGGTTGTGCGGGGCGCGAGGAGGCGGACAACCTCGGGGCTTTGCCCACGCTGAACGGCTAGAAACAGCGCAGTGTAGCCTTCCTATACCCCAAGGCACTTCATGGCATGCTCGACGATGACGAGATGTCTACCGGTGTCCTCCTGTTGGGGTCATAGCCTCCGTTCAGGAGCAGAGCCATGCGTCGTGGTTTCTCGAGACAGTACTGTACAATGCCCTAAACCACGCTCCCCACGTGAGCACAGACCTCTTGCACATTCTGTCAACGTCAGCGCCCAAGTCGGCCTTGGCCATCAAAAGGCGCAGCGTTGCGTCCGTCGTATGATGCAAATTGAGCGCACTCCGCAGTGCATCATTGTACACCTAGCGTCACGTCGATGAGCGAGGAGCTAGCAAAAACGTTTGTATCTACCGTTTGCGAGCAGGGGCTATCCAAGAGCACTTGAAAGATGGATGGGTCAGCACTTGTGAGAATGGCAATGCCAAGGGGAGTGTCATAGTAGCTGGCGCCATGAGACTAGGCGCTGATAAGTAACATGGACGGTTCAGACAAGCGGACCGCGCCGACATTGCCGATGGGCGCCGCCATGCATAGACCGGCAAAATCATTGGCTTGCACAAGCAGGCCCAGAAGCGTCACACCGCGCGGCTAGGATACTGTCAAGAGATATGCGTCGAAGCTCGGCCCACCGTGGTTTGAGCGTCGGGGTCGCCGCCGGCCTCGAGGTAGACGTGAAGGAGTGCAGTGTTGTGCACGAGCAGCTTTAGATCCTACGAGTTGCTCAGCCTCACCGCAGGCTGTGCAAGGTGCTAGGTCGTACCATGTCCGATACACGCGCACCGTAGCGAAGAAAGAGTCGGTACCGGTTTGGTTGCTGGGCAAAGTCACCAACCGCACCTGGCTACGCTTCACATTATACCGTGAATCAAGGACGTAGCGGTAGCGTACGTCGGTGCATCGATGAATGTCGGCGCCAGAGGCCACGAGCAACGCCAGCAATGGCTCAATGTCCACCTTGGGCGGGCACCGCGGCAGCGCCATCAGTGGCACATACCCTCCCTACCAGGAATACGTTGGTGTATGGACCAGTGTAGATTCGCTACGACATTCATAAAATTGACGTCGGCGCCGGCGGCGATGAGGCCGCGCGCAACGTCCAAGAAGCCGCACCGACACGCTTCAAAGAGCGGGCTCTACGCACACTGTGCCATCCTTATATTCGAGACGAGGACCTACGTGGCGGGGTGCTTCGGGCAAGGCGCCGGCCTCCAGTAATGCCATAGCGCATGCAGCGTTACCATGCGCGGCGGCCACGAGCAGTGGCGTTCGCTGACGCTACGAAGACACTCATGATTGAGCAAAGAATATGCTTTTGCCGTCTTCGCAGACCGTGTTGAGTGCGTCGAGGTCACTGCCCAGCGAGACAAGGCGTCGCACGCCAGCAAGATGACCTGCAGCCGCTGCTACATGCAGCGCCGTGTTCCCCGCCTACGACCAGCATATAGCAAACAACGCCGGGTCGCGACGAGACTGTACCAGGTCGAGTGGTGCGTCGATGTGGAGAGTGGCGGGAAACGTATCCGCGTTGCCCTTGTCTATAGCGTGTAGCCACGCACGAACGGCCTGCTACTCATCGTTGGAGAGACGCTCCGTCGATGGCTGCGTACCTTGGTCCCACCACTTGCCGCGCCTTGCATCTGCGTCACGTGATAATGCGATTCATTTCTGATTGGCCCAACAAACAAGAATGTAGGTCGTACAACCAACCAACATTCACAATTGAGGGCCAATTACCAGTGGAGCCGGAGCGAAAAAGCTGCGTAGCAGCAGCCACCCCGGGCTCGGTGATTTCGACCCGCTCGTCGACTTGGAATATCGATATCGATGCCAATCCAAGGTGACGGACTGCCTTTAGATGCACCAGTCGGCCCTCCAAATGTGGTGCCAAAAGCTGCTGGTGCGACCAAGTTCAAAATCACATGATGAAGACCACCTGCAGCACATTTTAGCTGCTAAGCGTGGCTGCATAAGTGTGGAGGGACAAGTCTGGGTCTCCAAGTGGACTTGCAGTAGCCTTGATGTCGTTCCACCGAGCCCGAAATGTGGGCAACCCAGTGCCCGCATGGGGACTAACCGATTTTTAATTCGGCTAGGTTATCCGGTTGGCCAGCCGGCTATTACCGGTTAGTTTTGGCTCTCGCTGGTCGAGGCGGGAAGACATGATCAATCTCTTGAGGTAAAACCCACACACCGAGTGACAATCGGTGGGCAATGATGAGCCATGATAGGCGGCGAACCTTACGAAGACGCTCCCTTCTTGACGCTTTCAAACCATATTATGTCAAGTGTCAACCCCTTTTCCCAAGAAATTGCGTACGAATAAATGAATCGAGGCGTCTCAATCGCAAATACTATATCGAATTCTCATCAATGCATTTAAAACGAATTAGCAGTCTCTTCTCGAGATAGGCACAGAGCCTTTTGATTGAAGTAGTAGTTAGCTGCCTTTCTGAGACATGCGCCGCGCGAGCAGCTCGAGCCTTGCCGTATCGATGCGTGGACTGCTCTGGATCGGCGTTGGCGCCATCGTGCGAAATGCATTGTCATTTTCGTCTTCTTCTTCTTCCTCGGAGGTTGGCAGAAGCTCTTCACACTCAAACTCATCGTCGTCCAGGTCGCTATAATCATCTTCGAGCTCTTCGACTTCCATGATATCGTGCGGGTCGTCGTCCATGAGCATGAGCATCGATGACGAGTCGACCTCGGAGAGAAGCCGGGGACGTGGCGACGGAAGATGGCCGCTAATGCGGCGCTCCAGGGCGGCAAGTGTGCGCTCGGAGGCTTGTGGAAGATGCACACTCGCAGGGTGAGGCGATGCAAACGCAGTTTCCGATGCCTCCAAGAACACATCGTCGTCCTCGTCCTCGTCGTCATCGTCGTCCAGCTCGACTTGCTCAAAGTCCATGTCCGAGAGGTCTCCATAGTACAGTGGCTCTGGTTTCGCAGCCTCTTCATCCTCGTCCGCGTCGTCGTCATCTTCATCGGACGAAACGAGATCTTCAACCTCAAACTCGCTGTCTTCGTCGTCGCTGGCAAACTGCATCGACGCCCAGTCGCTGGCCGTTGGTAGAGTACGCTTGCCCTAAACGAGATTGCAATAATGTAGACAAGATACATACGAGATAAGTACCTTGACGGCCTTGCTCTTCTTCTTGAGTGGCAGCGAGGCAGGCCAGTTGTGCTCACATGTCGAGTCGAGCAAAAGCGATGGCGCTGCTATCGCCCACGGCGAGTAGAACAGTGCCGGGTGTAAATGCTTCTCTAGACACTGCGGCGCCGTTCTAGTTCAAAATCATTTTCATCGAGCGCCATGGACGGTATATCGTTGTACGCTGCTTCGTGATTGCTGGCTGCGGTCGTCAGGGGTTCGAATACCCGTGCGTCAAGAAGCGGGTGGCGCGCTGCCTGCTTTTCCTTTTCCCCCAGCTTGCGCTCGAGGGCACGCTGCCACCGCACAATATCTCGTTCGCGCGACGTCAACGTTGCCGTGCCGTCCGGAGGCTCGTCTTGGGCCATCTCGACTTGCATCCGACCCCACTTTTTGCGAATTTCGCTCCTACAGCACGCATTAGAGCGGCCATAAGGCTAGGTTGATGAGGACATACCGAGACCGATGGGGCAAAAGCTGTGTGCCAATCTTGGAAAACTTTCGACGCTCGTCTTCGTCGAACGCGAGCATGCCACGTAGAATGCGAATCTCTTCTTCAATGAGCCATGGCGCGACGCGGCGCGGCGGAAACGACGAGATGAAGGCCTTGACAGGGTTTTGCGGCGCCTTGGCACTCGACAGAAACCGGTACCTAGCACCACACCATTTCTACGTAAAGAAATCTGGAGACGACGGCGTACCGTGCACGGAGGTCGTCCGTGGACTTGGTCGGTAAAAAGTTCTTTTGAATCGCTGTCCAGCTGATCTTGGCGCCCGACCGCTTCACGCCGTGGACGAGCAACCGGTCTTCGCTCTCGGTAAAGACTTCGAGGAGGGACTCCTTGGGCTTAAACTTGGCCGGATGCAAGAGATGGTGGTCGAGCGCGCCGAGGTGCGTGCGCAGTCGCTCGGTGCGGCTTGTGTCGTCGGTCACATGCAGCGTCGAGAACGGGCGAAGTAAATTGTGGACCTCGTACATGGACGGGTTGACGATCGCAGCGTGGGCAGCGCTAAACGACCGCGTGACGCGCCTAGCGTTGAGCAGCAGCGTCGACGTCGACTCGGACGGGTGCAATTTCGAGACGACCGACTCCTTCCACGCGCGCACGGCTTCACTGCGGCGCTGGAGGTCGGCCAGCATCGCCGACGTTTCTAGAACCGGCGCGCCTGGGGTCGATGGCGCCAAGATTGTCGTCTGGCAGAGCAACTGGTAGTGCTTGTGCATCTGGGACGCCAGCTGCGTGAGCTGCGCCTTGGTGAGAGACCCTTTCCAGTGGCCATTCGGCTGGATCTGGACAAAGGATGAGGTGAGTGGCTTGGGCCGACTGGCGCTCGGTGGCGCTTCCTGGGTCTCGTCGATCGGCGGCGCCGAGACTAAGTCGAGGTTGGACGAGTCCCAGAGCAGTCCCGAGAGCTCCGACTTGGAGATGCTGTTGGCCATGTCGGCGTGGCGCGACTGCTTGTGCTCGTCGTACTCGTCGTCGTACTCGTCGTCGCCGTCGTCGTCATGCGGATGGTATTCTTCGTCGTCGTCGTCGCAGAGGAACGAGAGGTCGTCGTCGTCCGAAGACGCGTTCGGAAGCAACGACGTGAGGAAGCGCCGGTAGTTCTCTTCCTCCTCGATCACGTCCATGTCGAGGCCCATGCAAGATGGGTCGTCCGCGAGGTCGCCCTCCAGCTGCTCAATGTCCACGTCGACAAGCGAGACCTAGCACACATAGAGCTGTCTACCTCACTTCCTCGAGTGCATCTACCTTGGTCCGCGTCCGAGATGCGATCGACGCGTCCATGCCGGCCGTCGCTACGAGCTCCCGTGGACTGTTCATCGTCTGCCCGGCATGGAAACCCGTTATCCGGATGCGCGAAACCGTATCCGGATCCGACATCAAAAATGGCGCCAACTCCGATCCCACCACGCCGGCGACCGACGACGCCTACGACAGGATGGTGTCGAGGCCGCTGAAGCCGGCAATAGCAGCAGGTAGTACGCCGCCGAGCCGGAGCTTAGATAGTGGTAAGGCCTAGGTAGTTGCTCCTGAAGAATCATCTACTAATGTTGGCCAGTGCTCACCGTATATCGTAGTAGCACCACAGCGAAGGGTCGTAAGACAAGCTACACGCTGATATACCACTTGTTAGGTTAATATACCGCCCCTAGCGACCACAGCGTCAGTACGCTGGTGCTGACAAATGCGAATGACGCTGCTGCCGACGGCGTCAAGGGCGCAGATGTCAGCGGCATGGGTGTACCCCACTGAGCTCGAATGTTGACGGCTGCTTGGTACCCGACGTACATGACCCACCCGCATGGATTGACCGTCCCTTCCTTCATGACGCTAGCGTCGCCGAGGTAGATGTTGCGCGTGCCACGCACGCGGAGCTGGCCATCGCTGCACCGGCGGTCGTCGCGGTCGTCGCGCGACGCGTAGCAGCTGCCGCCATAGTGATTCGTCCCGGCCACGTGCGTCGTCGTCCACTGCGAGACATTGGCCTTGGTATCCGGCACGACCGGCGTCGAGTTGGCTTGCGACAGCATTGCAAGGACGTTGGTCGTACACTGGCCGAGGGCGGCTGCGTCGTCAGCGATCCTGAGGTACAGCGACTTGGCGCTGTCGCCGCGCCACGCTCCGTCCGGTGCGAACGCCGCCGCGTCGCGCGACTGTGGGTTGTTGAGATATATCGCAAGACCATAGTTGGTGGACGAAGCGCCACTCTGGAAGCCGTGGCAAAAGCCGGTGATTTGGCACTCGTAGCGCCGACCGTTGATGAGCACGTCGTCATACCCGATGAACACGGGGTCGGGACTGGCGTACGGCCCCGATCGCTGCAAAAGAAAGAGCGAGAGCTCGCTCGCGCTCGGGGATCCGTGCGTGTATGTGACCATCTCCGGGTGATCGAGTGTCAGCATCACTTCGGCCGTGTCAAAGAGCGAGCCGCCGACGTTCTCGTTGAGCACCCACGTCGATGCGTCCTGCGTCACCGCGTCTCGTACCAATGACGGCGTCATGTGAAGAAGCGTCAGCTGCGCGCGCGGACCAATGTTGCTCTGGATGAGTACTTTGGGGGTGCTGAGCGCGCCGGCCGCCAATAGGACGACACCCCGCGACGTGAGGGCCGCGGTAGCTTGCCCCGACGATGTCATGTACACCACACTGGAGGCCGTACCCGAGACATGTACAATGTGCTGCACCGTAGCAAACGTGCGGAGTGTAAAATTGGGGCGACCGTTGAGCGTGGCGACGAGCGTGGCGGCTGGCGACGCGCGCAGGCCGTCGTTGATCGCGAACGGCGGGTGCCCGAACGTCTTGGCCTTGCGATTGCGCGCGGCGACTGCGTTGAGATCCGGTTTTTCGCTAAAGCCGTGCGCCGAGAAGCTGCTGGCGAGGATCGTGTAAGCTTCCTGAAGGTACCGCTTCTTGTCGGTCGAGGGCGTCGACGTGTAGTTGAAGTGGGCTTCAATCGCTGCAAAGCCGGCTTGGACCTCGGCGATGTCGTTGGGCCACGAAGCACTCGCAACGTAATCGTCCGAGGGGCGGAAGTAGAGCATCCCATTGAGCGACGACGAGCCGCCAACGACCTTGCCAATGTACGTCGCTGGCGATGCGATCCAGTCGGGACGATACACGCTGCTGGGCTGAAAGGCCACGCTCGTGTACTCGCCGGGGATATCAAAGCGCGTGAGTCCGGCGGTGGCGGCGTACGATGGCACGTCGTTGCCACCCGTCGCGCGCACTGAAGGCCCGCCGGCTTCGAGCAACAAGAGCTGGACGTCCGGATCGCGCGTCAGGTACTCGGCCGCGACGAGGCCGCCGGGACCGCTGCCAATGACAATGACGTCGTACGCGGCATTGACGCTGCTGGCGAGGCCCGTGAGCACAACGACGAGCGCTCTTCGCCGCAGCATGGCCACTGTGGCCAGTGTCAAGATTCGCGATCGAGCGTTTGATTGGCCAAACCAACTTCAACATGGTAGTTTATTCTTACGTTTTAATTTTCATAGTAATATTGAGTCTAGACTTGCGAACTGCATTATATCTTGCGCGCAAATCATTTTCAGCAGCCAACTCCACCACGACAGTTCCCACTACAACAGGCAGCGGTCCGGGGGCTCGTCTTGGTCTTCTGTAGTGGCGCTTGTGGTCACGAGTGAGGCCCATGATGACATGCTTCATAAAGCCCTTCCAGGCGTCGCCATCGGCGGCAAGGCTGCGCCGTTTCTTGAGGTCATCGAGATAAGTAACCGACTACTGTACTAACAACTTTGTCCGGCTGCAAGTACAGGGCATCGGGGGGCACAGCGGCCGACGACTCATTTAACACATGCTTGTGTCGTGCTTTCAATGGGATGACTAGGGTTAACCTTGTGTTTTCTTGGGGCAGGTTTTGGTCGAGCTCTTTGGTTGAGGTTTTGCATTGGGTAGCATGCAATCTGGCGGAGGAATCGTGTATTATGTGTGACGTAGTTTGGACGCTTCGGTGGACGGGATCATGCGCATTAATGCTCAACATACACTGCCCCAAACTGGCGTCCGCACCATGATCGGATCTTCTGCTCTGTGCTTGACGCGCGAATTGCAATAGAAACCTGCAAAGCAAACGTAACATCCAGATACGATCCTAACATCGCGATCTAACTCATTGATCTAACACCACGCGTAGTATTGAGGTCCCGCGCTATCGCAGCAGGCCCCAACGATACCAAATGCACTCGCTACGCTCGTACATTGCGCTATCGCGCACATTATCCTACCACGCTGCCAAGCACTATCGCAAGTGCACACGCTACGCTCGGGATTGGCGCTGCGCGCATCGATAGAATCGCAGCTCGGTGTGACGATGTCGACCGGCATAGGTTCACCAGCTCGTACCCTAACCTCGATGATGCTGATGCCAAATGTGCGCGTTCACCTGCCGCATCATGCTCTGTTGTCAACTACTTGAGGCATCTTTGGCCACACGTCGTTGACGCAACTAAGAACCGATTGTTGTGGCAGGCCACCACAAATCGTGTTGCGGAACATCGGTTTTACGGTTTTCCGGTTTTACTGGGTAATGGTTAAACTGCGGTTAAACAGCTCCTACCAGCAAAGGGTGTTTGATGTTGGTTATGAACACCACTGGTATTTCGCCACACTGCCACGTACTGAGCTGAAGATCGAAGCAGCTACGATATACGAAGTTCGAAGACAATGTAACCGGAGTTTCGGCGCCTCTCTAAGTCTGCAGTAACGTTTTGCGAAAAGCCACTGATAGACTTTTCGCGCCTGCGATGCACATCAATGTCCAGCGCGCACTAGGGCTCGTCCATCTCGGCGCGTCGCTTGGGTTGAGTGTCTGGTTCCTCGATATCGTCGCGCCGACACTTGCCAACGATTTTTTCTGGCCAAATTTTGCTCCGTCCGGTGCGCAGACGTATCTCATTGACGTCATTCACAAGCAGCTCGAACGTTCGGAGGCAACAACGTCGCTGGATCTCACGGCTCCCCGCCACGCCATCCTCAAGACGTACGGTCTGTCGACGACGATGGCGGTTGCCACACATACATACCCACGGACACTGGCGTCGCTGCCCTACGCCACTTTGGAAAGCGCAATTGTCGCACTTCGGACGCTGTATCCCGGTGGATTTGTCAATACGATTCACTGCTGGGCCGACTTCGAGCAGCGCTGGGAGGTCGGCCACACGGCCGCTCGACAAGCCCGCTGTCAAAAGGCGTATCGTTCCAACGGCGCCGTGTACCTACCTTGAAACGTATTTGCGCAACGTGGACTGGGCGGCTTGGTACCCGCTTCTCGGTGCAGCGTTCGAGTATACGCTACTGAAATCGATCGCAATGATGCCGGGCGGTGTCGCGTGGTGGGCAAGTGTCCGGAATCCAAGCACATCGGTGGGAGCGGAAGCAGCCCTTTGGCGCACCCACGCTATCGACGTCTACCAGCGACAATGGGCCAACGACGTTCAGATCGGGCTGCACGATACCATTTCGATTCTCAATGCGTTTGGGTGGCGCCAAGACCTCACGATCACAGTCATCTCGTACGTGGACCGCAGCACCAAGTCGACGACGGGTGTGCTCAGCCCCACGTTCAACTTGGACATTTACACGGCGGTTGTCACCAACAGTACCACCGTACGAAGCGCACCCAACTACATGGGAGACACCACAATTGAGCTGTACAGTGGTTTATACCCATACACACAAGCCAGCGTCCTCTTACACGACAACCTCGGTCCTCTCATGTCGATCGATCTCTACTTGCTGGCGCCACCGCCGTCGCTACTGGCGGCCGTGACGTCGTTCCACTCTGCGCATATTCTCGCCATTCAAGCCAACCGATCGCTTCGAGAAGCGTTCGAGGCGCTTCCCGCAACAACGCTTCTGGACCCGATACCGTTGGCGTGGCAGTCGACCAACTACAGTACGTACTTTGGGGGGAATCCCACATGCCTCTATGGCGCTGGCGCGACCTTTGTCCAGCCGTCCTTCTCGTTTGAGGATACGTGCACCGCGCAAGTGCCAAGTCGACTCGTGATCGACCGAATGGCTGCAGTGTTTGCTGCCAGCGCGATGTCGCTTACGCGAAACCCATGCTCGTTGTGCAGCGTGGCGACAGTAGCAGTGTGCTCGAGTCTCGAGGCAGCCGTTGGACCCGTGGCCAAAACGTTGAAAAGTGCTCTCTCCGCAGCAGACGTTGCAGCAGCCGCGACCGACGTCCAGCTGATGGAGATTGGCATCATTCAAATGGCCGTGACGCAAGCCACGACCTTTGTCATCCTCGAGCAGCCCATGCTTGGCAGCGGCGACTGGGACTTCTTTGGGTACGTGGCACTCTACGAGTGGGCCATCGGCATCCGCGAAGTCGTGTCGTTTCAAGGCGACGTCGCAACCTTCAACATCCTCTCCGAGCCAGTGGACCCTATCCCGTTTGCAGCCAACGGACTCGAAGTGCCTGTGAAATCGTGTCGGTACTTCTACGCTGTATGTGGCATTACGACGTGTCTCTTTCTGTGTGTCGCTGCCGTCACCGTATTCCACACGGCGTCCGCGGCACCCAACGATTTTGTTCAGTTTCTTCGGGTCGCTGGCCCTGTCTGGGTCGGGCGACCGCTCTTGCTCTTGCGCGCGACCGCCGCACTAGCGGCCCTCTGCACTGTGCCTCTTGTCTTTAACGGCGACAACGGTATTGGGCGCTTTGTGTTTGGCCCACGATCGCTCATCGACTCCATGATCCTCGCCTTTGAAGCCGTCTGGGCCACGGTGGTTTGCAACGATATTCTGCTTGTGCTGGCCCCGCACCGCGCACGAAACGCTGCCGTCCTCTGCTCGTGGCTGGTCTGGCTCGGTATCGTGTGCCTCGACACGTTGGCACCGCCTCAGGTCGACACGGCAATGGAGCGTCGCTGTGTTCCTATCTTTATGGACGTCGGCTACAAGTGCTCGCGCGGCACCGTGTCAATTGGCTCAGTGGCACGCGCCATCGAGCTGCTCGGCGTCAACGCGGTCGCTTTGGCTGTGTCGTATGTGGTGGTAGGTCGCCCGGCAGCCGCGCCACGTCAGGTTCCGTATCTTGTATCAGCCGGCGCCGCAACCTTTCTCTCGCCCAGTAGTGATGTTTGGACTATGGACGCCGCGGTTGGCGTCATGAGCGGGTTCGTTTGCTTTCATATCGGAGCGACGACGTATATCTTTGACGCCAAGCTCTGGCTTCTCTTGTCACGTGGTACAGCGCCGCGCCAAAGCCATGTCGTTGCGATCGACGTGTCGCCCTGCCACACTTCAAATCCCGAGTCCCATGCCGCACCATCTGTGTCACTACTCCGCACGACGTCACTGCGTCAAAAATCCGTGCGGTTTCTGCTGCAGCTGGACTCGTCGCCGGATGCTCCAAGCTCCACCGTAGATGCAGCGCCGGACACGACAGTGGTCACGAGCCG